GAGAGTTGTGCAGCATCAGGAACGAAATGCGGTCTGGTAGTTCTTACAAAGGTCGCACGTCTCGCTCGCGCAACAGGTCTGCCTCCCGTACCGGTAGCAGACGTTCCAAATCGCGACAATCCCAACCCAGGTTGTGCTGGTACCATAAACGTTATGGTGCCAATGCCAAAAAGTGCACTCGACCTTGCACCTTCGAGGCTAACCAGGCGGGAAACGTGTGAGCCAGCACGTGACGGCGACTAACGTCGCTGGCGAGCCACTTCCATGTCGCCTCTTCTTCGTCACTGATCGACATTCTGGGATACGCTTCCTAGTTGACACTGGGGCAGAAGCTAGCGTCATCCCACCTACGAAGGAAGAGCGTCTGCGGCCAATGTCTCTGCAACTTCGTGCCGCCAACGGTTCGCCCATCACAACCTATGGTCGGAGATTCCTCGATCTCAACCTTGGATTGCGTCGTCCCTTTCGTTGGGTTTTCATAGTGGCAGATGTGACCACCGGCATTATTGGTATGGATCTCTTGCAGCACTATCAGCTGCTGGTAGATGCTGGCAAGCATAAGTTGATAGATTCTACCACAACACTCTCTGTTTCCGGTATAGTCACAAAGACGCCGCCCCTCAGTCCCGTGTACTGCACGACGGACGCTTCTAGTCCCTACGCGTCTATCATTCAGTCCTTTCCGGATGTCTTTAAGCCAAGTCGTTGTGTCCCTTGTGTGACTTCGAACGTTTCTCATCACATAACGACGACTGGCCCGCCAGTGTTTGCGAAACCACGGCGATTATCCCCGGAGAAACTGCGTGCTGTAAAAGCCGAGTTCGAACACATGCTTGAAATGGGAATAATCAGACCATCCAACAGTCCATGGTCTTCACCCTTGCATGTGGTACCCAAGAACAATGGCATGGACTGGAGGCCTTGTGGTGACTACCGAAGGCTCAACGCTAAAACGATTCCAGATCGTTACCCAGTCCCTCACATTCACGACTTGACTGCATCTTTAAAAGGCTCGGTTATCTTCAGTAAGCTTGACTTGACGCGTGCATATCATCAGATCCCGGTTCATCCTGATGATGTTCCCAAGACAGCCGTCATTACACCGTTTGGTCTTTTTGAGTTCCTCCGTATGCCTTTTGGTCTTCGCAATGCAGCACAAACCTTCCAACGTTTTATTCACGATGTTTTACGTGGACTCGATTTCGCCTATGCCTACCTAGACGATATACTAATCGCTAGTCCTGACGAAGACACTCATTTTAACCACTTGAAACAGGTTTTCGCCAGACTGTCAGAGCATTCGATGACAGTCAACCTGGCCAAATGCCAATTGGCGTTCGTTCACTAAAATTTTTGGGACACGTTATCGACGAGCAAGGCATTCGCCCACTACCTGAAAAGGTACAGGCGATCCAAGACTTCCCAGTCCCAGCGTCACTTAAAGCTCTGCGTGTGTTTCTGGGTATGGTGAGCTATTATCGTCGCTTCATTCCCCAATGTGCACACATTTTGACTGCACTGACCGACCTGCTGAAAAGTAAATGTAAAACTTTCAGCTTGACTCCGGAGGCACTAGAAGCATTTCGCAAGATCAAAACCGCAATAGCAGACGCCACGATGCTGGTGCATCAAGACGTAAACCTACCTCTTAGCATTGCGGTTGACGCCTCTAACACGGCCATTGGAGCTGTGTTGCAACAACTTTCGGATCACACTTGGATCCCAGTTGCATTCTTCTCTCGGAAGTTATCCACCTGCGAAATGCGGTACAGCACTTTCGGCAGGGAACTGCTCGCCATATATGCCTCAGTGAAACATTTTCGTCATTTTGTGGAAGGTCGTGACTTCATCATCTTTACCGACCATAAACCTCTGACGTATGCCTTACACACCACTACTGACAGATATTCACCGCGTGAATTACGTCACCTAGATTATATTTCGCAATTCACGTCGGACATCCGTCATATTTCTGGTGCGAATAACCCTGTCGCGGACGCACTGTCTCGCGTTTGCACCACTACTTTGCCTCGAGCAGTCGACTTACGGAAGATTGCCGAACTTCAGGATTCAGACGAGGAGATTGAAAAACTTCAACACTCATCCTCTCTGAAGATACAGCGTTACCGCTCCTGAACAGTGAAGTGTCAATATTGTGCGACACCTCCACAGGCACACCCAGACCGGTTGTTCCTTTACCCTTGCGTAAGCATGTTTTTGATGCTTTGCACAATCTTTCACATCCTGGCATCCGCGCCACTGACAAACTCATATCTGCTAGGTTTGTTTGGCCTGGTATTAACCGTGATGTTCGAAACTGGACACGGTCATGTATTCAGTGCCAACGTTCCAAGGTGAATCGTCACAACATCCCACCACTTGGAACTTTCGCCAAACCTGACTCACGATTCGCTCATGTCCACTTAGACATTGTCGGCCCACTTCCACCCTCCAATGGATATAGTTACCTACTGACATGTGTCGATAGGTTTACTCGCTGGCCGTTAGCCATCCCATTGTCTAACATTACTGCCGAAACAGTAAGTCGGGTTTCGTCGAAGGATGGGTTTCACAGTTTGGATGCCCTTCCACCGTGACAACCGACAGAGGCCAACAGTTCGAATCCGCTACCTTCCAGAAGCTGATGAATCTGTTGGGATGCAAACGCATCCGCACTACCGCATATCATCCAGCTTCCAATGGTTTGGTCGAGCGATTCCACCGACACCTTAAGAGCGCACTAATGGCAGTCGACAATATGAAATGGACTGAGTCTCTGCCGTTGGTTCTTCTCAGCATCCGTTCTACACTCAAGACTGATATACAGTGTACACCTGCTGAGTTAGTTTACGGTAGTAACTTACGTTTGCCGGGTGAGATGGTCGCTTCAGACTGTAGTGACCCAACTCCTACCGATATCCATGGCTATGCTCAAACTCTTAAGTTACACATGCGTCGCCTCCAACCCTCATCCACACGGATACAGTGTAGACGGGTGCAGTTGGATAAAAGACTCCAAGATTGCACTCACGTCTTTGTGCGTTGTGACGGTGTACGTAAGCCCTTACAGCCACCATACGACGGACCCTTCAAGGTTCTCAGTAGGAAAGAAAAGTTTTTCGTCATTGACAGATCTGGACGGCAGGATTCTATAAGTGTCGATCGTTTGAAGGCAGCTTATATAGAGGACGACCCGCCTTCCTCTACACCGACACAACTAGAAAAACCCTTGCCGCCGGACTCCCAAACAGACTCGTTTAGTCGCGCGTATCCTGAACCTTCTAAAAGAGCCACGTCTAGTAACACTGATCCAGTAACCTCTACACGTGCTGGGAGGCGTGTACATTGGCCCAAGCGATACGCCGATTTCGTTAATTAGCCCCAGAGCAACTTCACACTTGGTGAATTCGGAGTTTCAACTACTTTGTCGTGGCATACACTTTCAATGCGTTTTCATATCTAAAGTTTTCAAAAGTCATGTTTACTACTTTGCAAACAGTTTTTTTTTCAAAAAAAAAAAAGAAAAACCAAAAATACAATTTAAATTCCGAAAACTTTTTTTGGTTGGTTATTATTTTTTTTCTGTACTACTCCCACTTCGAATTGTTTGGTTTTCCTTTTCTTAGCACTCTAATGTCCCATTTCTTTCTTCTTGCAGAACCTAGAAAATGCGTTGAAAATTGGATACAATTGGCCGCTGACGATGCTACTTGGATCGTTCTTCGGTTCTCTTTGTACCAATTTCCCCCTGTACACACCCCGGTAGATTAAGAAGCAATAGGGAAAAGTAGACGGAGGCTTTGGGTCACCTTCCACCACTGCGAGAAGGGTTGCGTCTAGACGCAAAGTTATCTTACCTCGTAGGTGTGCATAGTTGCACTAGCTTCGGAGACCCACACGTCACCTACTCCATCACCAATATGGAAAGGTGTTGCGTGTCCGCCTCGCAGTCGCCTCCTAGGATCGAAGGTTGCCGGTATCCCAACAACCTTCTAGGAGGGGGATAACCTGTAGTGCACCTTCCTGGCACCAAAATATAACTAGGGCTAAAATAAATAGTTTAAATTAAATTAACTAAATAAATCTCTAGCTTGCCTCCGGATGCTTAGGGTGTTTTAAGTTTTGTTTTAACGAGCATGCATCCGAGCAGGCTTGGACGCCATTTTTGCGCTCCATTGTGCTGATCACCACGCACGTACTCCGAGTCCCTAGTTCAGCCTTACAAGCCAGATAAGTTGATTAAACTTTTCCCTCATTCATTATTATAACATTTACCTTAAATACATAGCTCCTTTAAATACATTGCGTATCAGTTCTTTTGATTTGTGTTTTGTTATCAGTACTTACACGTTAGGTAAAGTACTGGTTAAGCAGGTACTAGAGCACATCAAATTAAGTAGGGTTGATCAAACGTTACGGAATTGTAACACGCATCCCTACAACTTCATGACACAAGAAATGTTTTTTGAATAAAATAAACAACTATGAGAGTGAATGCAAAGTTCCTTTCATATAAACTAAGTTATCTCATAGTTATGGTACCGTACTACCATAGTAATGACTTTTTATTGAAGGTAAAGTCACTTTACAGTGTCACTGCGTAGTGTGGAATACATAATGAAAACTGATTTCTGAGGATTGTATCAGTGATTTATCTGAATAATTACTATGAGACTATTTGAGTACTTCACATGTTATCGGGCAACCATTCTCAGAATTATGCTTTGCAATATGTGTTCACAATTATCAGCTATTAGAAATAAAAAAGGAACACAGAGTTACGTGCTGTTTCTGATTCCGTGTGATATCTGAATAGTCTATTCATTGAAACGCTTTGCTTGTAACCAGCTTTGCTATGAAGTCACTTACGATCTTAAAATATCAACTGTTTCGATCAATATTCGAAAAGTAAGTGTTGTCGATTTTTCACTCAGGCATGCAATTTTGAAATCACCAGCAGACTTGTTTATATATATCGGATTTGATGGGTCCAAGAAATCATGCCTAATGAAAAATTAGATTTAAGAATTCAACTAGAGCAAGAATTCTCTTCATCGGTTATCATATGTGGTTGTGACCTTTGTCACGCTAGACTTTATGTTTCAGAGAAACAAAGTGTTGACGATTATTATTCTTGTGTAGCTGATCAAACCGACGCTTTTTATCTACTTCCAATACCCAAACTCATAAATCTGTACCCTCAAACTTTAAATATGTCAGTGATGCACCCATTGCTTTGTCAGATGCCACTAACTACAGACTTGACGTCGTTAAATTGCAACCAGTATGAAAAATGTGCATTTCCACTTAGGAATAAGGTGGATTTAGATACTCCGTCTTTTTCAAACTTGTTAAACAACTCGTGGCGTTGTTCAGTTGGATCTTCATCTCTAGAATGGGATCTAAATGCACGCACAACACCTTCAATACCACAAGCGTATATATCGAAAGATTCTATTCTGCATATCCGTCTATCAAATTATGTTTCTGTTGAAAGATCCCTATGTGCATATCGTCTTATTAATTACAGAAACAACTCTGCATTGGCATTAAATGAAAGTGGACAATATGGGTATGCCTATCATTATAATTGTCACGGTCTCATAAATATGCATCGCGGAAAGTTGTCTATAACCTTTGATAAAGACCGTCAAGTACTTCTAAGAAGTGAGAAACCAAGTTTCGTTAAAAATGAAGTGGAATTTTATACACTTAGATCGCATCATTGGACAGCATGTAGACCTGTGTCTATGGATACATTTGACAGAGACGAAACTCCAGAAATTTTGAAAAAATCAGATTCAGGAAAATCACATGATGATACTAAGCTGCGTGAACTAGTTACTTCTTCTGAAGTTCATAAAGACGGTTGTGGGATGATAAGTAGGTTGGTTTATAAGTGTTATAAATATCTACATTTTAAAGTCTTTCTAGGAGACTCAAAGATTGAACAAAAAGTAAATGGAGATGTCATTTTAAGTTGGGTTCATGAAGATCGATCCAATTCTCTTCTTGTTTCACCACTATCAGGAAGTTTCAGTTTATCAACTAAAAATTTAGAGATTCTGGCTACTCCAAAAGCTGAAACATATATTTCCTTCACAGATTTTTTTGTTCATGTCGGGTAGGTAATTCCGTTTATCATCGTTCACAGTCCAACTGCAGTTACCTTATTCCCTCAGAAGTCAACAGATGACTGTCAGTAGTGGAGCAGTATCAGGGAAATGCAATTTTAGCAAAGGTCATCTATGTCTTCTAAGATTAACCAGTAGGTCGATAGAAAGTCAAGGATCGGAAACGCGTCAGTACTGTGCTTACTCACAGCTTATAAATCAAAATGCTAGACAAAATTCATCAAACAAACCTTGGCGTCATTCTCATTCGGCGAATTCTTTGAATATAAATGTGTCAACGAATTCCGTTAATTTAAATCCTATGACTAACCCATGCTCAAGTAATGCTTCTTAAGTGGATCACGAAGACTATGAAGGGATATCTACAGAAAAGGAAAATGACCAATTCCAGTCTTCTTTTTGTGAAAATATAAGATTATCTGTTTCCCAGTGATAAACAGTAACTCTAAAATACATTACTAAAGAAATATTCAGAGATTAAAGTAAAAAGTGTAAATATCATATCTGAGGTATAACTAACTTACCAGAGAATGTCCCCCTTATTACAACAATTTCGAAAGTATACTACAACATATTGATATCTATAATTACATGTTCTACGTGTAGTACATATGATACTAACGAAGTATACTGAAGATCTGTTGATATATCGAAGAGTAAGCACCAGTAATGAATGTCTGCATTATGCAGAATAACATATAAATAAAAATTAATTTCCCAATAATATATTGTCTTATTAACTCTTAGTCTCATTATAACAAAGGGGTCAACCAACTTGGCGTTTGGAGCGATGGGTACGAGGTTTGAGTCTCAGTGGGAACAACAACACTCGCTGGGGTGCAGGTACATCCAGCTGGCTAGTCCCAGATAGGACGAAATCTGCGTCCCGGATTCCTCTCCTAGCCACAACAAACCAAATTACCGTAATTAACATCTGAGCAATATCGAGGGATCCACATAGGAGCCTATATGCCAAGAGAGGTCGAACAATCCGACCCAATAAATAGTAACGGTAAAATTTGTCTGAAATAAAAAACTCCAAGTTTAGAAAACATAGAAATAGGGTTACAGAAATGTATGCATCAATATTAATGTTATTCATATAAAGTGTGAAGAAAAGCCGATCAAACAAGTGGTATCGGAAACTTATTTTAATTCGAAGATTACTTGAAAACAGAGGACCACATTCAAAATGTCTCAATAGACTAAATATATGAAAGTAAGAAAAGCAGCATTACAAAAATATTGCGAGCAGAACAAGAAACATGCAATGAATAAGACGAATGAATATTACCTAATCAAGAACTCACGTTTTCCCATGAAGCAGCATATTTATCACCAAACAAATAAAAAGATGAGCACAAAAGTAAAACTCAACGAACAATAATGTGATATCGACTTTGAAAAAGAAGCGTAATTGAATTGAGGAGAAAGCAAGTAGAGCGAAATCTCCCTACCTGCTTATTTCAGCGGTAAAAACACGACTGTAAACAACGACACAGTGGTAGATTCATTATCTTTCTATATATCGCGGTTTTTAATTGTTGGTCAAGCTCTCCAGATCTACTTGGCGAAATCAATATTTGATTCCTAGTCTTTGTTTCATACCACGGTAAAACGGATTAGTTTTCTTTCATCTTGTTTATAAAAATGAACGTAACCTTTTACCAATGCTAATGACTTAAATTGGTAGACTGAAAGGTTTGGACGGTAATCATTTGATGAGTTTTCAAAAACTTTCGCTCTACATTATTTTCTGTGAACTTTCACTTCTTTCAGTTGATCCAATCCCACTTCTTATAAATTGATCGGTTGACTCTTGTACCACGACTAAAAAACATTCAATCTATGCACCTTGAGATGTTTTTGAAAATCGTTTTCTATGTACTTTAATGGCAGTTTGCAGTTATATTATTTGTAACGCAGCGTTTATTTAGACCATTTTTTGACTCAGTTCAAGTCAATGAAATTATTGATAAGTAACGGAAACAAATAATGGCCTCAAAAAATAACCCTGATAACTAATTCGTGAAGTAACGACTGATGAGCCCGAAGAAAAACGACACGACTTTAACTAATCTTGTGGGAATACAGGAATTTTGATGTAGAAGATAGCACAAATTCAAATACAAGACTTGTGCAAACGAAGTAATAATTATTCAGAGAGAGCTTAAGTGGTTACAAATGGGTTACATACTCGATTCTGAGAGACTATGAATCAAACGCAACAGGACACACACGATACCTGTCACCGACTACTAATTATAATTAGGTAAGAAAAAAGTTAACTAGAAAAATCCAAGTGTTTTATTCTGTTAAAATAAGTTCATCTAGACTCCAATCTTCAAAACTCCCATCAGGAAGGTAACGACGAATGACGATAGGGATTTTATTAGATCTCAATTCTTTCTCAGCAATTTTCAAGGGGTCTCTTTCGCCGTCCAATTCAACCATAACAGGGGCAGACATCGATAACTGAAGAGCACGTGCACCCAAAACTCTAGCACGTTCATATTTAGTAAGATATGGAGTAGTGATTCGTTTGCTTTTCTCTACGGGACCAACAATACTCTGACCTGATGGCAGTCGTGGCACTTCATCAGCTGTGATATAGTTCACACCGTCTAGTGAATCAACAAAAAGTTAAGACCGTGATCATTATTTTCTCGTTAACTGACCAGCATTACTAGTCACACATTAGGTTATTCCCTATTTGCACGTATTTTAAATAAAGCACATAGTAGAAAATTACATACATGACATAAGCTACATTGTATAAATCCCAGTGTATTCGAAATGAATAATCCAAGTTTTTGCACGGAAGTCTGGTTCGAGCTTCTTTAGGGAAATAATCAAAGACTACAAGATCATACATATATATAACGTTGAAAACTGAGTAATTCATTCATCTCATTGTCCACTAATGTCTGCATTATAGTTGTTTTTCAACACGATTATTAGTCATTCATCGTGCACTTATATATACACAATGCGTAAATTGTATTGCATTTCAGACATTAGCTACTACAAGATAACACAGATCATCGGTATCATAATTACATATGCATGAAAAATGCGAACCTTTTTTATATGGCACAAAAAATAAAATATATAGAGGAATACATGTCATTTTCGCTTATAGGAAAAACAGAATGAAGTGATTTCGTAAGACTCAGGTTTTTTCCTTTTCCCCCATTCTGCTACAGAATAAACAATAATAATGATGATGAAAAACATTGATAAATATCACAGCACGTTATTTACCGTAAATGATGACCATAAATTAGTGCAAGTAGGAAAAGAAAGTAAATAAAATAAGACATTGCTGCTAATACGTATTTGGTTTTCTTTATGCTTACGTACTAATCATTATTTTTCAAGATGCAGTCAACTGTACTCTACTATGTCTATTCCAACTGTTGGAATTACTTCATATTAGTAGGGCCTCTGCAGTTAGTCTCTCTTTATGACACAGAAATTTGATACCACCGAAACCAACCTTGTGTTCCATTTCTATCGAATATAGTGCAATAGCTGATCTATTCTTCAGTCTCTGAGTTTCTGCTGAGGTCTTTGGAATTTACTTTGGACATTATCTATTTTCTTTGACTTTCACAATCATCGGCCTGGGTGTTTCCCTTACGTATACCACATAATAATCTGATAACTTTATTTCATAGACACATTTCTGCTGATTTTCCTTCGATATTACATCTTTGACCTTTATCAAGGCAGAACGTACATTATTCGTCGCACGGCAATAAACCTTTATATCGTGCTTATTAGGAATTCTGATATCCGTTTGCGACAGGGAATCACCAGTGCTGATCCACTTTTCAGAGGACACTTCGGACTATTCTTCACTTTGCTTTTTAAGGTTCTTTTTGTAAATCTTTCTGGATAGTTATTTGCTATAAGTGGAGAACGGATATATCTTGAGTCATCGTTCTAGTGTCAGATACTGACCTAGATACTCATTGTCTATTAAATCAAAGTGAAAGTATAAAACGTTTAGTGTTATGTTTAAGGTCAATATTTTTCACGTTCGGAGATCTATACAGACAAACAGAAGACACACTAGGATCTCCAGTATCCCCAAAAGTTTCCAATTTGTTCATCCATTCACCAGAAAAGAATGCAATGATGAAATGATTAGTTACTCCGAAAATTTAGTTAAGATACGTAGTTGATACGTGTATTATAGTTAAACGCGATAACCTGGACAAAATTTTCAGACATATAAACAGCGTGTCGAAAAATCACACTATTTAAAGAGATTGAATTTGATGTGGTATTTGATTTGATATGGTCGAAGGATAGCAGAATGACAAAATGAATTTATTCATTTATTCAGAAAGCTAACTCATTCAGAAAGATATCTCGATTATCATTCTGCAAATACCACTTAATCACTACACTAACCGTTGCTAAGACTCACATCACCTACTGACTTAGAAGATAAGGAAGTCATGACTAATAGGTTTAAAACAGAACTAAATGTTCTATTTCTCATATTTTTGCCTGATAATAATTATTAGTTTTATCTCGAAAACACTATTGTTAAACTCCTTATTACGTGTTCTTGATTAACACTAGATGATTGCTCAGTGCAAAATTTATAAAATTGTAGCCAACCTACTGTGTTTTCTAAGCAGGAAATATTTTCTCTATCTGTTAACACTTCAGACAATCACTGATTGAGATCGATCCATCGGAGAAAAATTATGTGACTTCTACCTTTCTTGGAAACACGTGGAGAAATTTATTAGGGTTTTTAGTTGGAAACTATTAATAATAACCAGTGAAACATGATTATTTTCAAAGAGGAAATTGTTGTTTCATGACTGTTCTGCAGCAGTACCTCTTTTGAAAATAGAGAGTGAAGTGGTCGAGTACTGGGTAAGCGGTGATTGGATAAGGAACATATGTTCTACAGACATTTACTAATACGAATTCCTAATTTAACTGACTAAATTCCCAAGTACTCCTGGCCTAACTCCCATAATTTTTACTTGACGGTTCCAAAACATGAATAATTCTGAAAAACGTCCAATTGCCTGGAGCATCTTTAAGTTGTCAAACATGAATAACCATGTGTCAGCAGAGTATAACGATGTAAACCGATGAATAGTGTAGTTGGCTTAGATAGCCACATTTCTCGCAGTTGATACAAAAGATATACGCCGAGAGATTCCAATCGAGCCTTTTGTATCCACACGGATGCATATGCATACCAAAATATTTTCAATGAAAAGTACTGTTTTCGATGAATTTTCTCAAAGCTGTGACAAAATGCTACTTTAGCCTTCTCTTCATGAAGTTTTTCAAGGTATCCAAATTCTTGCAGTGTCCATTTTAAACAGAATAGAAGGGTATACTTGGAGTATAGGGCCAGTACAACATCGAGAGAAATTTACTAGAAATATCTCATTTCTGACAGTTTTTGGACAAAAACACTATGACAGTTTATGAAATAATAAAGCATCAATCAAATGTTGGGGCGACATATCTTTACTAACAGCCATCAAACCAATTTCGAATCAAAAGTAATATTGGTTCGACAACAATCTGCATCATCCTAAATAAAATAAAGTTGTTACTAACATACATGTACTTAACTCAAAATAACAACCAGCTGAAGTCGTCTTTAAATCGTACACGTCAAAACTATGAGCACCATGTGAATCCAGGTCTCCAGATTTTGTGCCGAAATTCAGAGAATATTTGATACTAATAAGCCTTACTAATAGAAGATAAAACTATGTCTTACGTCTTGTCCATACCAATACTTAGTTCCAGAACATGAAGTGAAGTGCTTGAGTACCTTGAATAAATCGTTTATCTAAAACGATGAAAGACTCCAGTTCATCGACAGAATCCTAGCAGAGATAAGGAAGGCTAAAGAGACATTTAGATCCACCATGAAGCAAAGTTTATTAGTTAATAGACGGAAAATTATACTGCACAACAGTTTCTTATGCTCTCTCATGTAGTCATTACATACTACCTTTGAATATGGACTAAGTAAGCAAATTACACGCACCCAACTTTAATCTTTTGAAGCATTGCTAGTGTAATTTAACTGCTAACTTGGTGCAGAGATCGATTTCAACATTCCAAATAATTGAAACTATCAATCTGAAGAGAAACAGTTCAGTAGAACATATAATTAGTCTAATGGCATGCAACTGAATATCATTTTATATCTTATACAAACCTGATATGCAAAAACCAAAATGGATATTAACTTTGAATTGAAGTTCAAATCAATCACAGCAATTGTCACTTAAAAGCACTTCACTCTTAGCCTACACAACAAACAGGGTCCATGAACAAGCTGTATCAAAAAAAGAACACCAGTTTCGAAAGTCCACATCAGCCACAAGCGATAATACACTTTTGTGATACATAGATGAACGAAACTACATGAAACGCCAGTACAGATCATTCGAACACGTCAAAACAAAAAGTACACATAGGACCTACCAGGTTTTGTGTCCAAATCTTCTTCTAGGACTTCATCTAAAGGCTCCTCATCCGATTCGAAATCATCTGCAGCACCACCATACTCATCACCCATTACTTCTTCACAGTAGGTAATCTATCAGACGATTCAGTAAAAGAAACGAAACTAGTAGTTGTATTCAAAAGTAATATAACAATAAAGTTAGTAAACTTAAAGACGTTACATGTAGTATCTTCAAATTAACAAAAGAAGTGCAGACATAACTCGAAGACTATCTTGACTGAATTTGAGTATACAATAAATATTATTAGACCAATAGTTGGACCACTTTAGGCAGATCGATAGTCTGGTGAGATCGAGGGTAAAAAGTGTGAGCTTCACTGATTATCAAACCAGAGGACAAGCTCGAAACCCACTCCACATGTCAAAGTCTGGGTAACCATGTTGCATACGGTTATTGGGGGCTACATTCACTCACTAAGTTCAAAAATAAAACTTCAGCAATTCCAGTTACAAGTAAGAATTTTACTGGATGACACCCCACGTGGCGTTCAACTGCACCTCTGAAGTACAATCGTCAGTGTAAGAAAGCAAACTAAATGACAATACATTTGAAATCTAAGGCTTTTATAGAGTAGTACAGATTAGTGTTTCAACATTGCTGTAGCAGATGAAACTTTTCAAACGCCAATACAGATATTTTATTGCTCAGCAACCTAACCCAGTCGTTCCTTAGTTAACTTTTTATCAAGCTGTTTGGAGTCAAAAATCGACTTCTTAAGTTCAAATAAGGTTTTACAGGGTCAAAAATTTAACTTTCAAACAATTGGTTCCCAATTTAATTGCCGATCTAGCCATTTCCATCACGCTCAAAGGAGCGATTTTGTCAACGGTCCCAAATACCGACGGCGTCCACGGACATCAAACCAGCGTCAGATACAGATAAACCATATTGCTACAACCCATTGTTGGAGGGGATCAGTGGAGGACTTCTGCTCTTTCCGAAGTATTTGTTTAAATTCCGATCACGCGCTAGTGCCGGCACGTATATGTCTCCTCCTCAACGGTTGCCGGAAACAGGCGGCAGTTAAGCCTGCGTGCTGAAATAGAAGACGAGGATATCAGTTATGTATTTAGGATGAAATAGGTAAGCATTTGTCTAAACGTGATAGCAATGCTCATTCTGAGGAAGCCTGGGTGAGTTAGGACTGCTGTAAAAACAGCAATAAAGACAATTGCTAATTTACATTCAAAGGTTAGCGAACGTCATTGAGTCCCCACAATATCGTCTAAAATGACTGATGTAAGAAGACTGATTCCAGATGAATCTAACCACACTGAGGAGAGAAAGCATCTCAAACGTAGGTTGACCAAATGTCTTTGTAATGACCGCGAACAGTGATGGGTGGTGAACGTGATATAGAGGGGGGGAGAATCAGAATTAGGTATTAGTCGACAATTATCTAGGCTTATTTAGGATACTGACAAGGAGACGATGGTTAGTAAGACCATCACCGACAATGATAGGACGCCGATATTATATTATTATTTATTAGTCCCTTGGGTTCCTAATGGAACATAAGGCTTCAGCAGCACGTCTCCAGTTCACTCTGTTCTCTGAAATCTTTTGAACCTGGCTCCATGACAGCGCACAAGCTCTCATTTCTTCCTCGCATGATCTCCTCGGACGTTTAACTCGTCGCTTCCCATGGGGGTTCCACTCGAGCAACTGGCCTGACGCGTGATGTCCCCAGTCGGTCTTCTCAGTGTATGCCCAATTCATCTCCACTTCCTTCTGCATATTCGTTGGGTGATAGGTTCTTGGTCGGTTCGTTCCCAGAGCTCCTTGTTGCTTATTCTTTTTGGTCATCTGATCTTCAGTAACGAGCCAGCGTAGGCAGCTGTTGATGAATGTCTGTAGTTTATTGGAAGTGCTTTTCGTGACGCGCCAAGTTTCTGAGCCATACAGAAGCACTGACTTGACATTAGTGTTGGAAATCCGGATCTTGTTACACATGCTAAGTTTAGTAGATCTCCACACTGGTTTCAGGTTAATGAACGCCTGTCTTGCTTTTCCGATTGTGACTTCGACCTCCTCGTCTGTGCCGCCTGTAGTTGAAACGATGCTGCCTAGAAAGGTGAAGGAGGCTACTTCCTTTAGGTTTCTCCCGTTGATGGTGATTGGAGCTTGTTGTTGTTGGTGGTGGTGGTGCGGTATTTTCATCACCTCTGTCTTCTCTATATTCACTTGAAGTCCCATCTTCGCTGCCTCTTCTGATGCAGATATAGGCAGCTAGAAAGTTGGATATACAATTTAACTGGTTGACAGCAACGCTTTAGATGCCCAGCATCCAGTCCGAACCTGAATATAATGTAGATTTCGGTCCTTTAACGTTCCTCGAAGTTGAGAAGACTGTTCCAAACCTGAAGCAATACAAAGTAGCAAAAAGTCACGGTTTGGCACCAGAAGCTTATAGAGAAGGGGGTAGGCAATTACCGAATATAAATGAACTGTGTAGCTTTAGGAATCTGGGGTAGTCCCCTCAGACTTGTCTGCTCCACTGGTAATCCCAATCTATAAAAAAGAAAGAGAGAATTCTCATTGTGACAACCACAGGGGAATCAGCCTGGCTAGCGTCGTATCCAAGACCCTTCATAGTTGTCTGACGTTTAAGTGGAGCCGGAGAACAAACTCGAGGGAACCAGGCAGGTTTCAGACCTGGATGAAGGTGAATCAACCCGATTTTCACCTTTTGACAGGTTCTGTCAAAAACAGGATGTGATTAAGTAACCGGTGTTATTTCCCGAGGGCGTGAATATAACGAACGGTTATCTGTAAACGTGACGATGGACGTGTACTACAAGCCGACCTAAATGCACTAGTTCAGTGGTTCAAACATTAGTGTCCAGAAATTAATCCTAGCAAATATGCAGTTACGCATAATGATCTTAGCAGCTTTCACCAGTGTCTGAGAGATGAGGCACCAATACCTGATTTCCTAGAAATAAAGGTTACGTAGTTATAGTTGACCACAACTTGAAAACGTCTGCACATTGCACTGAAGCCAAAGAAAAAGGGTTCCGGGTGTCGTGGTCTTTGGAGAGCATTCAGATACTTCAATGAAGACATGTTTCAAAAATTGTACCCCAATTTTGTGGACCCCATTTCGAATACTGCATTAAATTGAACATTCCTTGCTTCATTCACGATGCTAAACCACTGGAACGCGTTCTAAGGCTCGGTAAAAAGTTGGTGGTTGGTCTGTCTAACTTGTCCTGTGAGAACCATTTAGAAACTAAATATTTTTCCATTATCTTATTGTAGGAGAAGAGGAGACCTTATATTAACACTCAAAATTCTTGGACTGACACGTCTTATTTCTTTCCCTTAAAGTTGATCATATTCGAGGCTACCACGATCGAATCAACATAGCGTAGGTTTTCTCACACACAGTGTTTAACGACTGGAACTCAATAACAAAAACAAGTGATATAAGCCACTTAGCTGAAAAAATAGATCAGTAGAACTAAACATCAGTGACGGCCAATCACATTCAAGTACGCAATAGCGCATCAGAATTAGGAATATGCAGCATACAATAGTTATTGAATGAAATGGTTCTTAAATTATAGGTTACCCGAGAAACAAAGACATTTAGATCTTATCATCTTTGACACCATATCATTGCACGCATTGACACCAATCCTTATGAGACATGATCATTTAAAAGATATTTGGGAAATTTCCCTCGTGATCTCGTTGAATACTTAAAGATATCCAAAACGACCATAAGTATTTTCAAGTTGTTTGTAAGCACTCGAAATGACCGATATCAACGACCTGCCTTTGTGAACATTAGCTTGATGGTTGTAAACTATTTCAGACAAAGGCATAAGTGACTTTCAAGCGTGTGAGTATTGCGATACTCAACGCCACGTATTTTCCCAAAAATACTAGCATAGATGTTCCCCTGAATACCCGCTTAACACCGTTCCAAAACAGGGTCCTACTGCTCAACCCTCCTGGCAGATGTGCTGCTATTTGGACGCCTACTCACTATGATCTCAGAATCGTGCCCAGTAGTAGGATAAAGCGCGTGAGACCCGTCACATCAAAGCAAACAACTGATAAGGTTTGTAAATGACATGGTTCTCGCATCCAGATAACCTAAAAGATAACGCTTTCTCGCTAGAAGAGATGAGTAGGCGTACATATCTCAATCAGTGTAGCGACACAACTTCAAGTAATTCATGGATACCAATATAGTTAGTCTACCCACTCGCCTGCCGTAGCTTTGGTTAGCGCGACGGGCTCTTGGGTGTGGATTCAATTTTTGGGGATTGTGTGACTTGTCCAAGGACTGTGATGCAGATGCATTCCTCAAGGGTCATGTCATCACACAGTTGTTTGGACTGGTTGTAGAAAGAAGATAGAAAAGGAAGAGAAGATGTCCAGTGAAATCAAGGGAGAAGTGCGAAAAAACGAGGTGAAAAGAGGCGGAACAGAAGGGAAGGAGAAACTTAGGTAGATTCAGGGGAGATAACAGTGGTAAGAAGAACCTCAGTAAATAGGGTCAGAGGGAAGAGAAGGAGCAAGTAAGATTACAAGACGGATTATGGGAAGAGAAATATTAATGTTATTGTTGGAGGTATGGTAGCTGGAGGTGAGTCAAGTTCGCGATGATAGTGCGAGTGAAACAGGTTCGATATAATGTTGAGTGTGCTAGATTGTGGGGAATTAGTTGGTTGTATCAACCTAGTCCATATTTCAGCTGGATAAGTGCAAGTCGTGCGTCCGGAAATTCGTCCAAGAGTTACCAACGCCAAGTTTCCGCGAAATGCATTTCTGTCACAGTTGGCATAGGATTTTAAGTCTTTAGGGACTAAAACGCTAAATCTTCCACCGGCAGCGACGCTTCAAGTTCCATACATGACATGTATCGTGTTTTACGTGTATTACCTTGCATTTTTCAGGATTAAATGCGAGCTAGCTATTGACTGCCCAGTTTTAAAGTTGAGTTAAATCTTCCAGTCGAGAAAATCTTTTTCACTTTCGATTTCTCTCCATAGTCCTACGTCGTCGGCAAAATAAGGATTTCGGAAGAAATCTGTTG